CATTTAATGTTTTACATAAAGAAATTCTTGCATAAGCCCCATAGTCTGGCAGCCAGACTCCACTGCTTGTGCCATGAGCTCTTTTCCTATGCAGTTGCTGCTGTCTGTATCATTGATCTGAAAGCATGGCCTGGACAGTTAGATGTATACAAAGAGCTGCAAATAGAAAGAAAGAGCTCACATCCCTAGAAATGCATCCGAGAAGGGAGTGTACTGTGGTCAAATGGTGTGCCAAGCCTCAAAAGCAGTGCTTCTTTGGGGATGCGTTCTTGTTACAAAGCAGAGTTTAGCTTTTTGGTCTTGCACAGCATTTGAAGATATTTTGTGCTTCCTCCTACCTGAAAACTTCTCAGGGTAAAGATTTTCTCATGTCCTGTGTTTGGAAGTCCATGGTGTGAAAGGATTGTGATAGAAGGCAGACTTAATTGAGTTGGGATTGCATGAAAGAAGGAGGATGAACAAGTAGCAAACATCAAAGAAAGCCCCTACAGTGTCAGGGTACAAAGTTAGCCAGTAGAGCACTTGTGAAAAGGCTCAAAATGTTCATTAAACACAAACACTACAAGAGTCATTCTTTTTCTTCCAGCCTTTTAATGTGACAGAGAGAACAAAAACAAAGTCCATTGGAACAGCTGCAATTTCCAGTGACGACCAGACACAGAGCAAATAAAAAAATAAAAGAAGGTTTTCAATGAAGAAAAGGAACCAAGGGACTGGAATTGGCTATTTCACACACAGAGTTGACAGAACATCTAAATGAAACTTTCCATTACAGCACGACACCAGGTGATATTTACAGTGGAACTTGCAGTGTGTGTACATTTATACAGCACTAGCATCACATACAGTAAAGAAATTAATTTCATTTTGTTTCCTTCACAGTTCCTGGGCTTGATTCTTCCTAAAAGCAGCATTTGCTAATATAAGGGTAAGAAACTGAGGGAGAAACTTAATGCAAAATAAAATATATAGGGCTCAAATCTACATAAAACTAAAAATATCCTCTCAGGTTTTGTAACTCCTTTGGAAAGTCAAAGGACATAAGCAGGGAATATAAAAGGACCAAGGGCCTCCTTAGGAGCATTAGAATATACTCTGCTGTTGGAGGTCTCCAAGCAGGACCTGGAAGAGACCTGGAATCTGCAGAAAGCTCAGCTCCATGCAGTCCTGCTCTGTGCCCTTGTGTGAGCCAGCCTTGGGGCTGGACCACTCCCAGGCTTGGGGAGCATCCCTCAGTGCCTCTCCAACATCACTGAAGGGCATCAGGATGCCTGACCACTTCCAAGTGTGCAGAACCTCTGGCACTGGATATGGGTTTTCCAAGACTGACCCTCTTTATAGTCCAAAAGTTCCAATACACCACCATTTGTAAGTCCCATAGCATTTCAAGGAATTTCAAAGAGTGATGCTGATATGGGCAAGGAGGGGATCACCCCCACCCAGCACAAGCTGCAGCCACCACCTCTAGGATGTAGCAGAACCAAAGGCAGTAACAGGAGCTGTCCTGCACAACTGGAGTAAATAAATCACAATACCACAGCCTGTTAAATCAACAGGGAACACAAGGAGGCAGAACTCTTATTGTAACACCACTGGTCTTTAATAATAGCATCAACAGTGCTTGGTGTTCCTGTAAAAGCCTGTGTCTGCATGCTCAGGAATTCAGCAATGGACTCCTCCCATTACAGTGCTGTAGAGCTGAAATCACAAAGCCACAGCAGCCAGTCTGGGTTCCCTACACTCACCTTTCCCACGCCACAGTGTCCCTGGCCAAGTGGCTGTCCTGCTGTGCCACACGTACATGAGGAGATCCAGCTGTACTCCAGAAGAGATCTTTGGGATTTAAGGCAAGTCCCCTGCCTTGGTGCTCTGTGTCCCTGTTGCAGTGAAGTTCACAAATCCGTGGAAATGCTGCTGTGCAGAGACCATCAGGGGAGCTGTGCTCAGCAGATTTCTCCGTGGATGGTCCAGTGTATCCAAGACAGAGACAGTCCCCATGGGCAGGGGAACTGAGGGAGGAGATGTGCTGGCCCTTGAACAGCAGGGGCAATGCTGATTTTACAGCAGAAATGAAGCTGAGCCAGGAGGTGCCTGAGGAGAAATCTTCCCTTGCTTGAGGCTCAAGGATCTGTGACTGAGGCTAAGCCTAGCAGGTGGCCAAGGTTTGAAACTGAGCCCAAAACAAACCCCAGCCTATGGAGATGAGTCTGCAGCCAGCTGCTGTTTTGCTCTGGAGAGCAGCAGTGTGACACCTCCACTGACTTGCACCATGGCGAGGACAGCAAACAAACACTTTGGGACTATTGACTAAGCCTGGCCCCACTGAACTGGGTGGGAGATGTCAGCCCAGGTGTCACAAATGCAATTCCTGAGCTGGAGCAGCTGTCCTGGATCTGTCTGTCCCTGAAGAAGCAGGACTGTCCAGAGCAAGCCATCTCCAGCTCAGCACAGGGCCTGGGCAAGGTCCCACACATTCCCTCTGCCTTTCAGCTGGGAATAATGACAATCCATTCAGTCCAACCCTAGGTGTCTCAGCAAGGTGATGGGAGCTCTCCTCAGCTTTTCCTTTCTTCCTTCTCTGCTCACTGCTGTCCTTTATCTCAGGCTCTCATAAGCCAGCTGTGCTGTGTGTTTGCTCTCCCCTGTTTGCTCACAAACTCCCTGGTCAAGCAGGGGTAGGAGCCTCGTCCCCACATGTGCAATATCCCTTAGCCCTCAAGTGACTGACACGTGGATTTTAGGGGTGCAAAGAATTTCCAGGTGACATTGACAATGAGATCCCATTACTCTTTACCTTGTCCCAGCTTGTCTGTGAGGTGAGGTTTAGCAGCCTGTGAAAGAGCCATTTTGTAAGGAATAAAGGTTTTTAATATTGGATATTATTTCCTAATATTACCTTGCCATTTCTATCTCCTCATGATTTCAGTTTCTTCATTCTCTGGAAATTAACAGGGAAGTTTTGCAAAATAAATGATGTCATTAATGTCACTGCAAAATGTCAATGGAGACCACAAACAGTCAGGTTTGCTGTGTTGGGTGACATGTAAATAGGAATGTTATGCAAAATAAATATTTAGACAAATAGGTTCTAGCTCCTCAGAGCAGCACAAGTGAATAGTCCAGAAAATGAAATAAAATTTCTCCCCTTCTGTTCAGTTGCAATGCGGTAATTGGCAAGCACAGCCCAACAAAGTTGATGAAACCTAAAGGTCATAGTGACATTTTGTGTTAAAATACATATTTAAACTGTTTCTCATCATGCAAAAGGACCAGATATTCTTAGAGAAAAAACTCACGTTCTGGGCTGGGATTCTGAGCAGAAGCTGTGAACTGCTGCCAAAGGACATAATTACATTCACTCCTACCTTAGAGAAGGAACCTTGCTGTTTTGAAGACAAATAGAATAAATAATAATAAAAAAAAAGCCCTAAGCTACCCATAAAATGAAGAAATGAGGCATAATAAGCTCGGTTACTACAGCAGCTTGTGATTTCATCAATTTCATAAACCTCAGAATAAAGGTCAAAAATCTCAAACAGCCCATTGTAGCCCAGCTGATCCATGAGTGTTTATCCCTGATTGACACAATGATAAAAGTGTTGCTCATTAGAGGCTTTTGCCTCATTGGCAAGGATTTGCTGCTTGTGGTCTAACCCTGCTGTGTCCTTCAGCTGCTCCTGCAGCAGCACCACGCTGAGTCCCACAGCTGCAGCCTGGGCTGGCCCTGGTGCCAGCCAGCCTCAGTGCAAAGAGCTGTGCCTGTGCAGCCAAGGCAGGGGTGTGAGACATCACTCCTGCAGAAGCTCAGCCTAGCCTTGCTTGGTTTTCTTAAAAAACAAGAACAAAAAAAAAAATCACCAAAAAAAGAGAAAAAAACCAAAAACCAACAAAGACGATCCAACAAAGGGTAAATGAGAAGATCACCAGCAAAATTACAAAAGAACTTTTTTATGTCACAGAATATCCTGGTTGACAAATTAGCTGCACTATGTGGTGGTTTCAGATCAATTCTGGTCTGTTGCTGAGCTTGTTTAAAGGGTGTAATTAGTGTTATCTCATCCACTGTGAGCACTGGTGTGTTGTTGAACAGGGTACATTTCGTTCTGGTTTCCCAAGAAAACACACCCAAAAATGCACAACTCACTTTGCCTCTAGGTCCAACAGGACTTAACTCATATGATAAAAAGGGCACACGAATTTCAGAAATGTTCTCTACAGGATACCAAACTAAACTGTGCCACTTAATGGGGAATTTAATGTTCTGTACAGTGAAAGCTTGCTGTGTGCAGTCCCTGTGTAACAAGGTTAAATGGCTTTAAGTAACTGTGCTTACAGTGTTTCAATGAGACCCAAGTATATTAGAAAATCAAGCATCATATTCTTCAAATAATATGGCTAAAATGCTGGTAAATTCACAGTTACCATTCTCTAGGTATTAGGCAAAAATCCCCTATTTACACTGGATAATATGTACACATTTGGTTTGTGGAATGCTCCAATATCATATCAATTTCTCCTCTGTGAAATCTGTAAGGAAAAAATCCTCTCAATCATTATAGAAATATATATTCCCAGCCACTAATACATTTAAATATTTGGTATTTGGATGTAAAGAACAAAGTGTTCCTAAGTTGGTCATGACTCCTGATAAACTTGAATTACTGGGATTTGTTTTTAGTGTCACTCTTAAAGTCCTCTTAAGGGTGCAGAAATTAGAAATCCTAAATTTTAATATGTTGATCACTTCAATGGGTGTATGTATGTTTGCAAGTAGGTGTAAATACATATATATATATATATATATATATATATAATTATTTAGATATTTCTCTTTCACAGCAAGGAGGTGTCTAGTGATTCCCTGTGCCCAAGTGAAGACAGTAAAGGGCTTTGAAGCTCTGAGTCTTCTGAGACAGCCGAGCACCCACCCTCACATCCTCGAGAACCCAGGACTCTCGCTCTTGCAGGTGGGTGGAGTGGTAATCCCAAAATCAAGACACCTGGGGCCCGTGGCCACATCTGCAACTCTCAGCCCTGTTGCTGGAGCTCACCTAGAGCAGGCTGGTTACCTGCCCTGCCCAGATGCTCCGTGTGTCTGAGCAGAGCTGACGTGGATGGCCAGGCAGGAGGGTCAGGTCTGTCCTCCCGTGTCACACCCACGCGGGCACGGAGCTGCTGCCTGCCTCTGGCGTCCTTGCAGGGGATGGACAGGGACGGGGGGCCCCCAGCATCGGCAGGGTGGAACCCAAGCTCTGCCAGGGTGTGTGGGGGCTGCATGCACCAGTGGTGGCTGTAATAAGGTCAGGAACGATGGTTTTGTTTAAATCCCTCCGGGTTCCTCTTTCCCTCTGCCGTCTCGCTTTAAGGTATCGACAGAACAGTACAGAATGAACATTTTGCGTTTTCCAGACATAGCTCTTTTTTGTTCTTCTTCTACATCTGCCCCCCCACAAGCCCCCACGGCCTCTGTTGCTCACATCAGGACCTGCTCTCGAGTCTCTGGCAGGCGCAGAGCAAGCAGGCCACCTCCAACCAGAGCGGAGGAGGCCAGAAGGATGGGAACCACCTTGGTTATCCCCACAAAGGAGGAGAAGATGGAGTTCCCCAGGATGGCACCAAACTTGCAAAGCCCATTGAGGATGCCAAAGGCTGTTGCCCTGCGGGGAGGAGAAGCAGAAAGCGATGGTTAGGAGGCAGGTTCTGGCACAACTACACAAGGTTTGGATGGGTAATTTTGTGAATGCTCTTATGTTGCTCGGGCTATGCTTCTAGCAAGTAAAACTGGGTGGAATAAATAAGTAGATAAATAGATGCAGCTGTTTTGCATGTCTGTGTGAATGAGGAGAATGTCTGTATGCACTCATTTCTCCTTTTCATCTTACCTTCTCCCTAGAGTGGCCCACTCTGTCAGCCTTTTCCCTCCCCAAAGACAGCAGGACAAAATCTGCTCTAGATCTCCTCAAAGCCCTTCCAAGGGCTGCCTGGAACTGGGCTGTCATCAGAGAAGGAAACTCAGCTCTCCTCTAAATTCTGTTTCACCCAGAAAGTAAAGCCCACTACTTTTAATGTACAGTCCCTCTCCTCCATTTCTGGCTTCCCCCAACAGTCTGAAAAAGGCAAAAAGGGGCTTATAGTGGTGTAAGGAAATATTTAATCTGCAGGACATTGTCCCAAAATCTCCTTCCCGATGTCCCAAATTACTCTGTGTACATGGTTTTCTCCTGGTTTTGGATGGGAAGGCTGCCCCAGTGATGAGCCATGATGAGAGGATGGGGATGAACTGTGAAAAGCCAGACCTCCATGCACATCCATGAAAATGACAGAATACTTCTTTCATTTGGTGCTTTAGAACTAGTTGATCTTTAAGGTCCCTTCCAACCCAAACCATTCTATAATGTCATGATTCTATCATTCTTTGATTTATCAGCTCATAATTTCCATATGCCCACATGATCCCTGTGTTCAATGTACCACGCTGAACTTTTTAAACTTTTAATTTGCAGAATTATGCTTGCAAATGTCTGTCCTGACCCAGGATCACACATCCCTGAAGGACTGGTGAAAGCAAAATAAATAAAAATACACAGCTCCCCCACCTACATGTCTCTAGGGCGACTTTTTCCTTTGGGGACAAAGAGGACCAGGTAGAGGGTGGAATAAAAGGAGAAACATTCTGAGCACCTTTTGTCCGTGGGGTAGAGCTCCACGGTGATGACATCCAGGGCGTTCCAGGCGGCGATGCTGGCCCCGCAGAAGAGGCACTGCCAGCCGATCATCGCCGACTCGCTGTTCCCAAAGAACAGGAAGAAGCAGCACACGGCTGAGATCAGCATTGAGCCGCCTGCAGGGGCAAAAACCAACAGAAAAACACTGGCACCAGCATCCCCTGTCCACAGCTGAGCAAACACTTTGTTAAAGATGGCTTTCAAGTGATGGCGTTTCGTCCCAATAAGTATTAAATCTGTGAGGATCCAAAAACACCTTGATGCTGCCTATCTGTCATTCTCTGGTGCTGGAAGCCAGACTGGAGATGTTCTCAATATCCACCTGATCTTGCTGATAGTCCTGCTCTACAAAGACTGTGAAGACAGGCATTTCCAGGCAGGCTTCCAGCATCTCAGACTTCCAGGTGGACCCAGGAAGAGCAGAGACAAATAAACATGAAAGTCAGTGAGGAGGAAGCATCATTGTGAAGGTTTTTCAACTTGAGATTCAAGTGATAAACTTGTGCATTTCATATCATATCATTTGACAGATTTCTAGTCCCAATTAGGATAATTTACAGTCACTTGTATGAAGCACTTGAGGTCTCTTTTAATTATAAGAACATCATTAGATTTCATGGCACATTTGCACAGGAGCCATAATTTTATGAACATCACCGAGGGAGAAAGTGAGAGCATTCATGCTCAGTTAGGCAGAGTTCAGATTCAGAAATATTAATAGCTACATCACTGCTTTCTACCCCATTGGGAATTTTCAACAGAAAGTTGAAATTTGGGAAAAATCAAACCATTTTTCACCAGGATGTTCTGTTATCACTGAAATATCTCCATTTATTACCAGGAAAGCAAACAATTTTCTCTGTTGTTTGCTGGTTTTGGAGTCAATTTAGCGCCGTCAAAAATAATTTGGAAGCTGAAGTGGAACTGAAATGCTTTAATTTGGACATTATTTTGCATCTTGCCACTGTAGTGGCCTGCCTAAGAAAAACTGCTGTGAAGGACTCCTTGTCCACTTCTCCTCCATGGTACAAGGCCAGACCACATCCCCACAGTGTGGTGTGGATAATCCCCCTGCTGCAAAAGCCCAGCCCAGCACTGGTGAGGGCACCAAGAGATCTGCTGTTTTGCACAAGAGAAGGTTTGGCAGGACGTGATAAAAATGAATTGAAGCCCCAGCGAGGCACATAACACAAAGGAGAAATTCAGTTTTCCTTTTAAGCTGACCAGAAATAATATGTTCGACAGAGTGATACAGGTGGGACGCCAGAAGGCTCTTTCAATTGGAAATTCCATAGTGAAACGTTTCAGCATGTCATTACTAATTTTTGTCCTGTTCTCTTCTTTTTGCAGGAGAAATAAGCATTTAGGGCTCCAGCTGTCATCTCAATTCCAGATGAAAATGCTGAAATGCTGACATGTTTGCAGGATGGACAATCTGATTTTCATTCAGCTTCCTCTAATTTATTTCTCACAGACCCTCTGGTTTGTTTGGGTCTTTTTCAAATTCACATGAATGCTCATTTTCCCTCAGTGTAAATTCCTGAGACAGTCATCTTGCTCTACTTTAACCTGTCTGAAGGTGAGGCTGAGCTAAACCTTCCCTCTGTTCTCAGAGGAGAGAGAAGAGCTCAAGAGAGTGATTCATCCCTTACCCCTGAGCCACATCCCTGATTTTATTACCTTCCTTTGGCTGTCCCCCAGGGCATCATTCCCAAATCATGGGATGAGAGCAAGGTCTGAACCCTGGAGGCTGCAACACCAGCAATTCCCAAAGTATTCATAAAGCTGATACGGTGATAACTTGATAACTTATTCCCACGATGCTAAAGGGTGGCTCCTTTCTTGGCTGTGACATGGTCAGTTAATTTACCATATGCTCTCTGAAGCTGCTTGTGCAATCATTTGAAAATCAGATAAAAAACAAAAAGAGGGAACTCCTAGGCTGTCAAGCTGCCACATCAAATAACTTTTGTGAATATTCATTGCTACAAGCAAAATGTTCATTTATTTATACACAGGCTTTGGACTTCAGCAGCAACTCTACAGGACCAAGAGGCCCTTTTTTAGCTCTGACCCTGATTTGCTGAGCACTGCTAAAACATGGAGGATTTGACACAAAAGGCAACATTTAAAAATAATAATAAAAAAAAAAAAGATGTTACAGACACAGAAAAGCAGGGTGAAGAAAAGGTGAGTAGGTCAGTTACTCACTGCCATGGATCACCTGCCTCACCCTCTAGTCTTTATCCTTCTTCTCCTTTTGTTTTGGGGATGACTCATTCCCACCAGAGCCATGCCAGGGTGCAGACACACTGAGCAGGGCTCTTAGCAGGGGTGTGCTCCACCCTGTCCTGCCCCACCACCCATTGCCCCCACTCACCAATCATCTTAATCCTCCCTATTTTGTCCATGAGCAGAGCAGAGATGATGTTGCCTGGCAGCACAGACAGGCTGCCCAGGAAGCTGACCAGGTAGATCAGAAAATCATTGTCCTCCTCAAAGTCGATGTGGCAGCCTTCCTTCTCCTTCATGAAGGTGCTGTTGATGAGCCTGCAGTTGATGAATTTGTGTTCGTAGAGATCTGTGAGGGAAAGAGGCAAAGGCTTGACCCTGCTTGGCTGAGCTCTCCCCATACAATAGCAAGGACCAAACCAAAGACCCAAGAGAAGTTTCTCATCCAAAGGAAATGGCCAGGGAGTATTTATTTCAGTGGAAATTTATTAGAGTGGCAAAGTCTAGCTGAGTCTTTGGCTCCTGGTAGATGCAAGCTCATAAACTCATTTTATTTGTGGAGTATACTCAGTGTACTGAACCAGTATCCCCATGCCACAAGGACAGGGCAGTGCAGGCTTTGGTTTTTATAGCATAATAATTTGTTCTTTATTAGAGTAGAAGTTAAGAGCTTTCTTTGGTATAAATTAGTGACGATTTTACTGCTGATGATCTTCAACTGCCAGTGGCTTGAAATTATATTTTTACTGAGTGGAGCTGTAAAGTGCTGAGAATTTTGCCATTACTTTAACCTGCCAGGGCCTGAGCACAGAATTTTGCATTTCCCATAAAGCACTCAGAGACACCAGAAGCCATGGGGTTAAAATCACTGATGGAGCCACCTGAAGTCTCTTTCCAAATGCATGCCACCCTTTTCCTCCAGCATCACTCTCATTACCCAGCACACACTCAAACACACAGATCCCTACCATCCTTTCTCCCAGAAAGCAGATAAAAGAGTTCTAATAAAATAGTTTTCTGATAAAAAAAAGTTCCTAGTTACAGAGATGACACTGCAGCAGGAGTCCCATTACCAGTGTTATAAAAGACAGTAGAGATGATGGTGCAGTTTTCAAAGAAGGTCTCACTGGATCTCACATCTTCAAAGTAGCAATCCTCAAACAATGAATCCTCAAATCTCACTTCCTTGAATTTCATGCCAATAAATCTGTGGGGCAGGAAACAGAACTTCACTCTGTGTTTTAAGATATTTTCTACACTATAGAGTGCGCAGTGGCTGTTTCAATAGACAGAGCACTAATTCTAATTTCTAGTGTCATTTGCAGAAAAGGTGTTGCTTGAATGCATAATTCCCTCCAGGTCCTTCTGTGTTTTATTAGAAGAGAAGAGTCTGAAGAGTATTTTTTTTAAAGAGACATGGATCTTTTAGGATTTGTGCAGTTTTTCTTTTCCTCAAAATAATCACATCTGAGAAAACGTGCTTCTAAAGCTGAGGTGACACAAATCCTCTCGTGTTCAGTCCTAATCTGTCTGAAGATGACAGAATTCCACTCAATGCAGGGCATTTCCTTCATGAGCTGACCTTGCTGCCTTCCTTAGTCTCCCCCTTTCTCCATCATAAATAAAACCAGACATTATCAGGAGCCTATTGAGCCATTTGGTGAAAGGTTTCTGACAGTTGTTTAGACTCAAAGTGATTTTTTAAGTGAAAATGCAGTAGGGATTCTGGAGAGAATGGGGAGATTATCTGAGTTCTGCTTGTAACCATCTCTGTTTGAGGTTTATTACTTATCATGTAATGAAAACAGATTTCACTAAAAATAATAAACTGTGTCAGGTGATTGATTTCTCCTCTGATGGGAAGCGTGACATGTCTGACCTGGCTGCCTGAAGGATGACACAAAATTGATTTACCTGTGAGATTTTGCAGGAACACTGAGAAGATGTATTAGGTAATGCACAGACATGTTTAGAAGATGTAAGGAGCTATTAAGAACAAGCATTATTGCTCCAGTTAAAGAGGCCATGACTGTCACCAGATGAAAAAAAGCCTTCTAACATACTCTGCAGCTTAATTGAATTGAGCACTTTTAACACAGCGTAACGTGATGGTTGTTTACACCTTTAAATGAGCACTGCAGGGCTTCTTGACTGAGCCTACTAACAGAAATTATTAATGCACAAAACACCACAAGAAGATTATTGAAGTGTTTTGCTCCATGTAGAGAGTCTCACAGGTTACAGCAAAATTTAAGCTGTTCTGCATTTGCTCAGTGATGTATTTACCTGTGATGTATTTACTCCCAAAGGCTGTTAAAACCTGTTTTCCCCCTGCAGTTTGCTTTCTTAACACCCAACTTCAGAAGACCCAGACTCCATGACCTGGTGCTCCATGGAGTTTGAGCTCACAGCCAAGGGCTGCAGAGCAAACACAGCCATAAACCATACTGAGATAATTTCTGGGCATTACTGCAATTTAGCTTGATGAGGTTTTGAGTATTTGAAATGGAGAGGGCCAAGGGGAGAATAGTGATTTACATCAAGTTTTGTGTCTTCATCCAGTCAGGTGCTGAGTATCTTTAATTCTCAGTGGAGTTAGTGAAAATTCAGTACCTCCTCAGTGGAGTTAGTGAAAATTCAGTACCTCCTCATAAGAAAATGTCATAAGAAATGGCATAAGAAAAATGTCCCCAGTCCCTAAATTTGACCAACATCCACTTCTCACCACTTTCTTTTGGGAAACAGGAATTCTGGGGCTACGTTTGCATCATCAAGCTCAGCTCCTTGTTGCAGGGAAGGTGTATGGAAGGACATGAGGACATGCTGGGGACCCCCACCAATGTATATCAAATATGTAACAAGGAAATGGTTTCTGAGGGGATTGGAACAACCTGGCTGGGCAATGAGGTGTGGTTTCAGCTGTGAAGATTAAAACAATAAGTGTTTTGTGTAACATTGAACATGGGGAGGAGCTCCCTCCAGCAAGGCAGCTGGAGCAGCATCCTGTTAGAGCGATGAGATCACAGAGGGATATTTTTCCTTTTTATTGGGATTTTGAATAGTACTAATGGAATGACCAGGATTTACACTGCTGTGCAACATAGAGTGATTGGTGTCCAGGTTGGACACAGAAGAAAAACAGGACCAGCCCAAATAGAAGGAAAAAAGGAAGGAAAACGACAATGTTCTGCTAAAGCAAATGCACTGACTCCAAAACACTAAAAGAGAAGGTGACTCGCTCATCTGTGGGGAGACAGTGACTGCAATGGGAGAAGCACCCCAGTATGGCCATGGCCAAGCTTGCACTAATGGGCTGCAGGATGGAAACTGCGGTAATTCATATAGAGGACATCAAGAAGAAATATCTTTTTATTTTGAAAATACAGCAGCAATTTCATTACCAGTGGCTGCCCAAGCCCAGTAGATGTCAGTGTGGGCTAAGGAAAAAGAAGTCATCTCTGCAACCAGGGCTGCCCAGCACGGCCAGGCGGGCACTTGCTGCCCTGATCCCAACACGGGGCTGCTGGATGGAAACAGGACTCCTCGCAGGCACCCGCTGGGTTCTGCAGAAGTCAGTGACAGAGGCAAAGTAGGTGGAAAAAAAGGATTAAAATAATATTTTCTCTGTCAAAAACTGCCTCTGGGACTTGAGAGATTTAGATTGAGTGTCCAAAAGACCAACAGAGGAGTTCAAGTTGATGCAAAATGGAAAAGAAAGAAAGAGCTTTCTAGAAATTTATTTCAGTTCAAATACATCAAAGCAAATTCTGTTCACTTACTTGTCATTCCTGTACTCCCCATTTCTATGGATCTGGTTTTCCAGGGTGAAATTAAAGGTGAAATGGGATACTTCTTCCTCATCAAAGATCTTCACTCGGGATTCATATGCCTCGTCTTGGAAATAGCGGATCATGTCAGGGAACCAGACAATAAGGCCATAGTAACTGCAGCAGGATTGGGAGACACATCAGGGACACAAGATTCTTCCAAAGATCCACTTCACAGCTTGAAAACTTGTTAAACTCCAAATGTGAATGCATGTCTGACACAAATTCTTGCTCAGTTCTGACACAGGACTGAGCAAAGTGTTTCTGCACTCTAAGCACCCTGCTGATCTCAGGAGCATGTTAATCCATTCCCCTTCACTTGAAGCAGGAGAATTCAGTTCCCCTTGGCTGGGGAATACAGAAATTTGCTGACCTTCCTAACCATTAAATTAGCAGAGAATAAACAAACTGGGCTGATTTCTGTAAGTGTGCAATTCAAGTGAAAATTAGACAAACTTTACCTGCAGTTTAGATTTAGACTCCCCTGAGTGGTTTTGTTCTAGACTAAGGAACAGCTGAGAGCCTGGTAGGGTTGTCTTTTTTGTGGGTGTGTGGACAAGATCAAATGAAAGATCTAAAGGTGAGAAAGTCAATCAATTACTGTGCTACCAACCACTTCTCAAGTCCTGGTTTGTTCAAAGCACCTTGTACTTCATATAATGCAGTCAGATTGATCAATATTTGTAGGAGAGCAAGGCTAAGTTCACAAAGACTCTTTAAAATAAGACCAGGATTAATTTTGTAATAGTTTATTTACATGTTTAAATAACTATTCAGACTCTGAATAGTGCTTTAGTTTCCTGAAAAATATAAAGAAGTATCTTCCTTACCTTAAGGCCATTGTAAACCAAACCACAGCCAGCATCAGTGTGTTCATCCTGTACTGGGCTGTTAAACAATACAGCACATTGTCCCAGACCTACAAATCCACAAGAAGGAATTAGCTGCCAGGACACCCCAGCAGACACTTGACAGCTTAATTTCTGAGTGCATCATAAACCTAATGTCAGAAAAATGGGTTCATTAGAGGAAGGTCAGATGTGTGGCTTATATTCAGTGTTTTTTCAAAATTATATTTATTGAGTAAATGACTTACGAAAAATCACTTATTCAGCTCAGTGCCAGAGTACTTGATCTGAGCCCTCTGTAATGAGCTGGAGTGCATGATCAGGGCTGGGTATGAGGCAGTGTCTCTCTCAGGCTATATCAGCAAATGTGGATATGAGATTGTTCTCAGACCTTCAGACAACTTTATCTTTTCAAATATATGTATGGTGTCAGGAGTGCTTTCAAACTGAGATCAAAAGCTCTCTGAAGAGCAAAAGCCCAAACACAGCTGGCACTTCAGGAGGTATAATATGAAATCAGGTAGGGATGAAGCCAAGCAGGAGGCAAACCAAGATCTGCTCTTGACTCACTGCAGAAAATGCTGCCAAGAACATGAGGAGATGCAGCTTCTTATCTTGACATGAAAGTATAGTAATAGTATAGCACCTGCATTGCTATTAAGAACTCTCCTTTATTTTCAGCTCATCCTTCAATACTAGAAGTTCTAGCCAGGTTTTCCACAGTCTACAAGGGTGTTAGGTGAGCAGCATAGCAGGTGTGAAAGGTTAAATTAGCCTAGGAGACATTATAACATTCCTAGAAACTTGGTCTCAGCAGGAACAAAGAGCAAACACTTTCTGCCTTCACTGCAAGTGGAAATTTCACTTAGGCTTGGGGAGAGAGAATCAATATTTATCTGCTCAGGAGGAGAGCCAAGTGCTTGGCTGTCCAGGGCTGTGGCTGCTCCTGGAAGCTCTGCATTGCTGGATGACAGTGATGTTCACAGGGGCATTTTGGGGCCTGGCTGGCAGCGTGGCAGCTTGCAGGTGCACACATCTGCACAGAAAGTGCAGTCAGATTACAGCTCTTTGTAAAAACCAAAATTTCTGAGGTGAGAGTCAGGGTTTCAAGGTACAATGACCTGAAGCAAAGAGGCACTGGAGCACTGTGTGAAGTTTTTTTTCTTCTCTTTACCTGTTTTAATGTAGTCGTGATTCTGACCAGCCACCGCTGGTACCAGGTCCCTGTTGAGCTCTGGATTTCAATAAATTCATCTACTTGCTTTGGAGTTTTGATATAGGAAACCTGGAGAAAAAAAAAAAGGAAAAAAAATTGGACTGCAGTTTCTAGAATTGATCTTGGGTGGATTTAAGTTCCACTGTCTTCTGGGCAATGTTTCCACCTAATAACCCCTATTATTTTTTCCTTGAAAGTTAACATTAGCAATTGAGCTCATTGACTTAATTACAGCAAGAAACTATTAACAGAAATAAGCCTTGCTTCCTTCTTTTCATCTATCCCTTCATCCCCTCTCTCTCTCCTCTTCCATGAAATATTTTAATCATGTATATCATATATATTATAATCATATAATACCATGTCCACTTCAATCTTTCATTTGCTATCTAACATACCTGTATACTACTTCATTTATCTATCTTCAGATTCCCACAACAAATTAGGACTCAGAAAGTACAGTAAAAATTATCTCCAAGATCAGCCACTTGTACCCAAACTGTGTGGATTTCATTCTTCTAAGACAACTAGCAGGAATATCTCATTCAACATCTTTTAAATAGCACTGACAGAACTTCTATGACAAATGATTGTGTAGATGGGAAACTTTACAGCAGAAAATGTATCCTGCCATCAAGTGAGCCCACACAATGCAATCAGTTTGCTTCACCAAAAGTCTGAATTTTCACTGCTGAATACCTGAACTAGACTGCTCAGGAAAACTTACAAATGTATACCAGTAAATATTTGCTTAGTAAATTTAATTAAAGGACATATTCAAGGAAAACAGAACTGTTTGTATACACATGGAGGAGGCAAAAATCTGCTGAATAAATTTCTGAGTGTGAACGAGCGCCTTGGCTCAGCTCTGGAGTCTCCACATTCCTCTTCCTGGCACTGATTAAATGTCAGATCTGGGAACTGTCCCATACAGGCTGACTCACCACAAACTGACAACTTCTGGCCTGTCAGAAAAGCACAAACCCTGACAGTTTGTGCCACACCAGGAGCACTGATCACCCTCCTGTGCCAGTACATCGCGGCTCCTGGAGGTGCGACCCGAGCTCAGCTCCTGCACTGCAGTCATGGCTCTGTTGCATGGAGGAACGAGCACTAATGGAGGCTCTACAGCTGCTCCTTCATTCTCCTACTCAGCTCAGACTCTCCTACTTTGTGAGATATATATACATATTTAAATATATTTATATTTGAGCTTCATTTCCCAGCTCAGCGTTACAGCAAAGCCAGTGATGGACTTGAAGAAAACTTCTCTCTCACCATTGCTATCAGGGCTTGCATTACTCAAATGGTTGGTAGCCTAAAAATAACACATGCTCATTAAGATCCTACATGAACCTGAGCATGCACTTGTCATGCTCAGATATGAAATTGTGTTTTCCTTGAAGATCACTCCCAAGGGGCACAATCTCCTGACAACCCTTCTGAACATGGAGTGTTGCTTTCCTTCTTGATCAAAAATACATGTTTCACACAAAAATCTCTTTTTTCCCCCATCCTTTAAAAGCATGTGTGCTCTCATCTTTAAAAGAATAAATCAAGAGTACTTCCCTGGCTGGCTCACCAGGATTTTAACACTGAATTATAGTAATTTGCTGCTAACACCAGCATAAACCTTTCCTCTGATTTTACTTTAACGACTCTGCTGGTGTGACCTTTTTCACAACAAGCAGCAGACCAGTGAGTAATAGCCACTCATCCCACTTTCCCTTGGAGAGATTAAAGACTGGATATGAGGCAGGTGGAGTTTGGAAAGCTCATTAGAAAGTACGTGAAGTTTAATCAGACTTTGATTAGAAGCCAGAATGGAGAAAGTAGTGACTCAGGTCTCCCACATGGCTAATATGTCTCTTATTTTGTTTTAGTCTCTTAGAGTAAGCCAATTAAACATGTGCATAATTGAGAAATCACTGGTCTAAAGGATGTAGAGTAACACCAGGAATGAAGAGTACTTGCTGCAATTGACAGAATTGATTAATTCTTGGAAAAACAGACTGGCATCTAAGTTTAAACACACAAAATGTTTCTCACAGTCCTTTTTCTGGTTGCTGGGGGAGATATTACATTGAAAGAGTACCGAGGAGAAATAAAGTCATGCTGTGGTGCACTAAGGAGGGTATGTCCAGCTTTTCTTACCCAATGGCTTTGCTCAACTCACCGTAAACACCCGCTCTGGCTCGCCCTTGGCCCGCATGTTGGTGTCATGGACTTGCTTGAGAATCATCCAAGCTTCATCATGTTTACCAATCTGAAAACACCAAAGAGAAGGAAAGCAAGTGTTCAAGCTCCCAGCTCTGTAATTTATCAAAACACAGTGAGAAAGCAATTCTAGAGGTCCAGCATAGTAGAGAAGCACACAGCCTGGGCTGCATGAAACCCGAAGAGCTGAAGGCATGGTTGGTATTCACTGAGTGCAGCATCTCTGTGCTGGAGAAAGGAATTGTCCTAAAACTGTCTGAGGCAGAAAAAAGAGCCAGGGATAGAGCTTTAAAAACAGATGAAAGAAGAGGAGATGGATGAGGAGAACTGGACTCTCAACCCAACTCTGCTAAAGACTTGCAGGCTTGAACTATGTATTGCTATATTTCCCATCTGTGAAGTGGAGATACAGAAACTTAAGATTTCTGAGGTTTAAGTATTTTACTCTGTGAAATGTACTTTACCCTTTGCTCTACCACCAGGATTCAGTAGTACCATGCCCAAACTCTGTGAGATGTTTTCAAAGTGCTTTGTTGGACAGATAAAATTCCCATCTCTCCCTACCTTCCTTCTGTACCCCATCTGGCAGTGACACACTAATGATCAGTGCCTGACCCCACAGTCTGCAATCTTTGGGGTTCAAGCAGTCTGTGGAGCTGGCATAGACACACAGGAGTGGCTTTGCCTCTGAGCTTGTGCTCTGTGTGTTTGATGGGACAAAGAAAGACAGACAGTGACACATTAGGGACCTGCTATCCTCTGCAGATATCAGAGATGAATCATCTTACCTCCAGCAGAAACCGCGGGCTTTCAGGCATGAATTTCAGCGCCACCAGGGAGGCGATACAGGGCAGAGCACACACGAGTACAAAGACTCTCCAGCTGTGGAAGTGGTACTTGGTTCCCATACTGAACCCCCAGCCTGGAAACAGCAAGAGCCAACAAGTGAAAATACTGACCAGGAGTTCTGAGTTTTTCTCTGCTCATGCAGCTCAGAACTTTGCAGCTCTGTATGACATGAGGACAGGTTGAAAGTTTGCTGTTCTTAGTGCTGGTGGCTCTTGGAGCTTCGATGGCGTGCTCAGTAGATAGCAGCAAGTTCATGTTCATTACAGAAATTGGAGCATGCTCAGGCTCTGCCTTTTAAAAACCTTCTTTTATCTTTGAGTTTAGAAATCACCTAGTGATAGCAACAGCTCAGAGCAGCTGTAGGCAAGTAAGGCTGGGAAATGGTACAGGAATAAGGGCCATAATTGATCGCTTCTCAGTGATGTTAGTGAAGCTTTTCAAAGGTTAAATCTCTGATCTGAGAGGCACAGTAGAGACAGCTTCTTTCCATCTCCTACATCACATATGTATTTCACATTTCATGGAAGTGAGCAAGAAAAGCAAGTTTATTTTTTTCAGACCTACAAAACCTGAGCTGGGGTTCAAAATTAAAACGTCAAATTCCTAATCCTGCACTTGAGATACTCTTCTCCTGCTTTTTTCCTGGTGTTTGACCAAGTTAGGTATTCCCCTGCTAGGAACTGGAAAGTACAGCCTCATTCTCTTACATTGCTCCATTCACTCTCTCTAGGCTCAAATCTCATAAGGAGTGTTTAAATAATCTTTTTTCTATAAAAAAATTTATTCACATAATAAGGGAATCATCAAGCAATGCGTTTTGCAGAGGTCTCATCTGAGCCAGTCATGGTGTTCTAATGATTTCACAAAGTTCCAAAAGAGTAGGTGGAACACTGGAAATCAAAAAAGAAGCTACAAAAACACAATATCAAAAAGTCATCTGAAAAATAATTGTAATGTAAATAACTAAGAGCTTTTAAAAGCAAATGTTGTTGCAGTTTAAAAAATTATTTCTACCTGAAACCACTGCAGTAAGTTTACCTATTTCTTCCAACAGTCTCTGTCATGTCAATCAAAAGCATGAATATTTCTTTATACTGAGCATGCTTTAAATGTGCTAAAAATGAAATGATGGATAGGTAAATGTTAGTGGTTTCCTTTGTGGGTTTTGTGAACTGTCCTACTTTCCTCAAACAGGATTTTGCAAACAGCTGGTGTCACTGAATACTGGGGGAATTAATCTTTTCCAGTAGATATTTGCTTCTGGTGTTTTCCTAGGTTATATACACAAGTTACAAGGAATTCCACGTGACATGCAGACTTTTGCTTTTCTGAGCACAAGTAAATTTCAGTTTACAGCCATCTACTTTTTCATTCCCACTTCTAGCTGAGGGTAGGGAACCCATTCCACTCCTACATCCATTTAGGTGAAGGCAGAAGTGACTTCAACCCATCACATGCTGGGCAGATTTGTCACCAGGTACACAGCCCTGACAGTGTGGACACTTGGCTAAGGGAAAGCACATGTGCTGGCCTCACTGCTGTCATCCACAGCATCCAGTAATTCCCTGATTAAAGTTGCTTATTTTTGATAACTGGATCAATTTTTGCCATATAATCTCAGTCAATTGTTTCCCCGAATGAGCTGACATTTAGATTAAGAGCTCAGGCTCCAGCAGTGTAATTTAAGGGATGCATTTGAGGCTTTAGATGGAAAGCAACCCCATTCAGTCCTATCTACAGCCTTAGTATCCATCAGTCAATCGCGCAGTCAATTTATGAGACCTTTTGTGAGTACTTCAGGTATCTATTATTTCAAATATTTCAGTGATATTTGTGCTGGGATATGTAAGAACTGTCACTACCTGTGCAAGGGTTTGGGGTGGTGTAGTGGTGTAGGAATGTGGTGGTGTAGAAAATCGAAATCACAAATTACCGTAATGTGGGATGATGCTCCAAGCCATTGCTGAGGCATAAATGCCACCAATCATCCAGAACATGCAAAGCCAGCTCAGGTGTTCCCCCCTCTTCTCACGAGAGAGGAATTCAGAGAAATAGGCAAACACGATGGGGAGGGTGCCCCCGATACTGAGGAGAAAAAACAGCACATGAGAAAAATGAGAGTCTGCTTCAATGTCTTTGTGGTTAGGATTGCATGTCTAATGAGGGAAGGTCACACTCACAGATGGGCTGCTCAGAAGTGAGACTTGGAGGAAAAATGAAAATCTCTCTTTGGCTGGACTGGTCTTAGACATCAAAGATGAACAAGGTCCTTCTTATGCTCTAAAAGCTGAATTTTCTGTAGTTTGTACAAACCCAGAGTAATACCCTGCTTTTCACTTAAACATCTCCTCTTGTTATTTCATGATCACTCATTTTAGGCAGGTAAAATACAGGCAGCCAGTGGGAACTGCTGAGGGTCTCATTGGAGGCCTTGGAGGTGGGCATTTTTCAGTCTCACCCACATTTCTGCACAGTTTGGGCAGTACCAGAACATCAATGACCAAACTTTCCCACCACTACAGCTCTACGGGTCAAGCGTGAGGTAACACAGCCACACATCCTAAATGGCAATGCCATCCCATCTGGGCACCAGGGATGCATCTCCTGAGCACCTTTCCTTGTCCCACCCCACACACCCACACTGCCCAGCTGTGCTGGGGCTCCCCCAGGCCAGATTCACCAGGTACCCACCCGAGGCCTGAGATAAGGCGGCAGAAGAGGAAGAATCCATATCCCTGGACGAAGGAGGAGAGGAACGCAAAGGCAGCATTTATTGCGAGTGATATCATGAGGCATTGCTTTCTTCCCAGTTTGTCAGCAAGGCCGCCCAGCAAGACAGCCCCCACCATCATTCCTAAGTAGACTATCAAGCCTGGAAGGGAGAGAGACAGTCAGCTTGTTAACAGCGTGGAAATAGCACACAGTGTAGAAGCAGATTTGGAAGTGCCCATGTGGCAGCTGATGTTGTCCTGGCATATTGTGCAATAAAGTAGAGATACTCCTAACCACCCCAAATCTCAGACACCAGAAACTCTGCCCATTGGTAGGACAGTAATTTTCCCATCTTGTGCCTGAGAGCTTGCATCACTTCAGGAAGTATGGACATACCCTCATTTGACCAGACCCACATCTTTCCTTCCCAACCTCGCTGCTCACATATCCCCTGCACGTAAGCAATGGCCAGGCATAAGCAGCTTAGGATGCACGTGTCCCAGCTATGTGCCACCAACAATACAACAGAAGTCTGATGTCTTAACTCCTCTGACCCCCCTGAGTGCAGTGGGGTGGAGGATGCGTAGGGAGAGGCTCTGTCAGGCTGCTCTGTTTATGCTCAGAAAGCTGTGAGAGCAGAGACTGATGAAGCATGGCTAAATCTCTTTGCAGTGTTCCCTCTCTTTCACTCTCTGCTTTTCCCAGCTGTATCTGAAAGGATCAGTCTGCTACCCAGACTCACCTCGAGTAGCTCAGCTACTTCCTTTGCTACTGAGCCAAGATCTGGTGTCTAACTAAAGGACAGCTAACTCAAGAGTGCAGTCTTGATCTGAAAATTTCAGGAGAAGGAAGAATCTAAGGCTTGTATAGAGTTATCTCTCTAACATTGTTGAGAAAGGTGGATTCTTCTTTTTAACCTGACTTCACTAGATTTTCTACTTTGGGGTCCTCAAAGACAGTCTCACTGACTCATTTAGTGCCAGGCTGAATAGGAGAGAATGGATTTCCACCCCGGGCAGTCTCCCTGTATCCTGCTCAGTTTCTGCTTGCCACTCTCCTGGAGAACATGGCAATTGTCCTTTGCTCTTCTACTGCCACTGCTGCAGGAGGGCCACAGATTTTATTGCCTTTTTTTAATGCAGGTACCAGTGTAAATAACACTAAGTTCATAGAGCTCAAAGGTTCACGAATATATTTTTTTCATTTATTTTATCTACTTTCCAGATATAATTCAGAAGAAATTGGTTGCAACCATGGCTTTTCCTGGGGAGCACAGAGGTACCAGAGGCTGCTCCCAAGAATACTCCTGCATCATATCAAACCCCATTGACAGGATTGTAGCCTGTGTCTATGGGCTGCACAATCCTGCTGTGGAGATCCTGATGGGGCCTAACCACCACTGGATGTGATCCAGATGGGCTGAGCTATTTCAGGATGGAGAACATCTGCCTGCTGGAAAGCAGAACTTTCTGCTTTCCCTGCAGGGCAGGGAGGTCTTGAAGGAAAGGGATGATGCTTGAGATGTTTGGAGACTGGGGACATGTCAGGTTCAAGACCCAGCTGAGCAGGGGTTGAAGGAAAGCAGCAGTGCTCCCTGCATCCCTGGCCCCAGCTGAAGGCATCAGATGCTGAGCAAGTAAATACACTGCCTTAATAGCAAACATTCCTATTCACTGATTGAAGAAATACAGCTAAAAGAAACATTTTTCAGGCATGGTTGACTCTTTGGAGGTTCATTCCTCACCTTGAACCAAGCTTGGCTTCTCTTGAGAGCCAACGCTTTCACCAGGTTCTGTTCTGTCAAATACACTTGGAAAACAAGGTGGCAATGAATGTTTTTGTAATTTATTAATGTTTAAACAAAACAATCAGTCTGGTGGCTGAAGGCAGCTCTGTGCCATCCAACTGAGGGCTAATGCAGAGTTATCTGGCAGCTGATCCTGTCTTCCTTTTGATTGCAAATGCCTGCACTTGATTTAAAATGCATTACTAAATTAAAAGCTATGCAGCAGAGACCCATTGCAGCATTTGAAGGACACTTGTGTCACATTGATCAGACGTGGAAAAGTTTGGATTTCTTAAATCTCTCTATTCCACAGTGGGGTCACCTATCTGTGAGTGAACCTTTTCAATCCACACAATGTCTGAAGGGCAGGATTTGTGTGTCAAAGGCAAAAAAATCTGTTCTTGTCTGTTAAAAGCTTTTGTACCAGAACTGTGGAGCTGGATTTGGCCAATTGTACCTCCACCATGAGCGTGTGGCTCTGTGCAACCAATCCTTGCCCTCCCTGCCCTACCCTCCTGATCCAAGCTGTCCTGGTGAGGAGATCTGAATATGTGTAAAGGTTTCAGGTACTGAACTCAAGAGAAGATACAAACACATCTCAGAGACTGGGATCTCTATTTCTATTAACTTTGACCTCCAGCTTGTCCACTGAAGTGCAAATTACAAGGGTGAGCCAAAGCAAAAACAGTTTCAGTCCAAAAACTTCCTGAAGGAAGGATCTTAATGCAGTGCTGGATGGCTTAATGCTTTTACCCTGGCTCCTGGGCCACATTTAATGGAGCAACTCTGATGGCAGCCAGCAGAAGGAAGTGATGATAAGCCCTGTATCTACTCACTGGTGCATCACAGCCACCCATCTGACAGTGAGCCCTGCCAGCACTGCCAGACCCTGGTGAGGAAGAAAAAATGATCTGCCAAACTTTTTTTTTCTTTTTTTTTTCCCTTTTTGTTTTTTCCCCCACTGAGAAAATCCCTGGATGGCAGATGTTCATCCAAATCCTCTTAGTAATGGAAAATGTCTCAGGTCGGGAGGAGGTGGAGGAGATTCTTACTGCTTTCTAGCTGGTGTTTTACTGCAGTCACTGGTGAGGGGCAGCCTCTTGTCTGGCCAGAAGAGTGGGCTTGGTATGGGATGTGGCAGTGCTTGAAACTCAGCATCAAGTGGAGCTGCTTTTGTAAGCAAACCCCTGCAGATTCTGACCAAGGAGCTGAAACTTGGGATGGAAGGGAAGATTGGACCTTTGCAACAAAGCATCCATCACACAGTGAGCAGAGAAACCACAGCAGAGCTGTTAATGTCACAAACTCATCTACAGGGTGTTGCTTTAATTAGCTATTGTATATGATAAATCAATTGATGCATGGTCCCTCAGAAATTTAAAACAATAAAAATCTTTGGAAAAGGAAAGAGACAACCAGAGACTGTCTACTTAGCCAGGTTTTGAGGGAAGGATCCTGGTTATGGAAATAACAGCTTCAGGGTTGAAACAAAATCAACAGAACACTTCCTTATCATGGGGAGGTGGATTTTTTTGGTGAAGACTGCATGTTCTGGCCAATGTGATTAAAATTTTGAGGTAGCTGCTATAGAACACTCTGTCAGCTGATGGATCTCAGGACCCAGGGTGCAGAACAACGTCTGCTTTGCAGATTGCTGTGCCCTGGATTGACAACAAGGTGGCAGGGACCCAGGGAGGAGTGGAATAGTCACTCAAACAGCCTCTTTGCAGGGAGACAATCTTCCAGAGAACACAGTGATGGTTGCTACCTCTGGAAAGATCCAGCTCATGTCAAGGAAACTAAAATTTTAAGGAGAGTTGGACCAAGAAAGGTGATCCCAAAATGGTATTACTTTTGCTGGGCTAGTTCTGTCCATCAAATATTCTACAGTACAACATTACAATGGTCTGCACCAGAATCCTGACTTCTTAACTTGGCTTCAAACCACAGAGACTTAGACTGTGCTAGGAGGGATCAGCTTCCCAATTGACACATAAGGTGCTCAGATGAAATGTTAAGGGCAACTCTGAATAAGCCATTATTTGCAGGCTATTCCACAAGTCCTGGAATATAATGAATGCCTGTGGGAAAGTCTGCAACAGCCTCCCATAAAATTGGTGGAAAACCAAAGAGCTGAAATTCTATGAATAAATTTTGGGTTATGACTCATCCATTGCTGAAGTTATAAGGAAAATATGTGACCACTGACTGGGCTTACTCCCACTAGAAAAGGGGTAACATATTTAGCATTTTCACACTAAGAAATTTATTAGCCTTTACTGAAATTGTGTGCTCTGTATTAGACAGGAATTTGAAGTTAAAAGCTGAAGTTCTAGGAATAAGGAAAGGAATATACTGCAGATACAGTATATGGATCTGGGTGTGCTAAACTGTATTTTTATTGCTTCAATATAGTTAAAAGTAGACTTCTAAGGGTTTAAGGAAAAAAAAATTCAAGATTTACCTAAATCTGCATCACAAGCGTGAATTTTTCTTATTGTTAGTTAATGGGATTAAAGTCCTTAAAAAAGAGGTACATCTAGAAATAATCCCTTTAAAGACAGGACAAAGACTTGTGGAATAAATAGAAAATTTAAGCTATTTGAGCCAAATAGCTCACTGGGAAGAATTAGTCCCAGAGTCCTTGGGGTTGTCAGGGAGGTAAGGAAGCTGCCTGGGCCCAGGGATGGCTCTGGCTTGTGTGGAGCCAGTAACCACAGGAATGGGAAAGTTCCTACCTTACTTCCAATCCCAGGCCAATACCAGTAAAGCCCTATGGTAAAAAAAAAAAAAAGAGGCTCTTGAAGAGGGAAAGCATTTGGACAACAGAAAATTATTAGGACCTTTTATATCTTGTGGTTCAAATTGTAATAAAAACAAAATTAAAATACTGTTACTGGTGTAGAATCTGTTAGAGATACACCTTATGGACACAAAGAAAATTTTGTGAGTCAGGTCTGGACAATCTGGGAGATGGATGTGGCAAGGCAGAAGATCCAATTACAAGTAATTAAAAGAGAGAAATAAAGTAGTGATAGTGCTGACTCTCTTGTACCATAGTGATGGGAGGGTCTTGACAGAGGATGAGCTGAAGGCTGGTGCTCTTTTTTTCCATTCTTCTTGCAATTTTCAGTCTGCTCTTCCTTGTAGGTTTATTAATGCTTTCCCCATGAATCAACTTGGCCTTTTGAATTGAACTCAAAGGAAAAGCTGATCCTGCGGCACTCTCCTTGTTGGTTAGCACAAGCAGTGAGACTCCTTCTGCAGCCAGCGCCTCTGGCACTGAAGGGAATCAGCCATGGCAAAGGCAGCACTCCATTTTGGGAGATCTGTGTGTGGATATTGGGCATATCTGGCTGCTGGGATGGAGGGGGCTGTGCAGCTGGCGTGGGGTGGGTGGGTGAGCCCGTGGGGCTGCGGCACAGCCGGGCTCGGCGCTGCCAGTGGGGCGTGGGTGGTGTTTACACTCAGCTGGCTTCACATCTCCCCATGGGACTTGTCCAGCACCACAGCATTCATGGGACCATCTGGTTCTCTCCACCCAGCCCTTCTGCTAAAGCAAAGATTTCAACAGAGGAGCAAAACAAATCCTTTTCTGTCCAAAAAACCTGTTCTCAGACTAGAACTCATCCGATGAAATTCCCACAGTGTTTACAGATGGGGACACAGCCATTCATCCCCATATCAGACCTACACAAAATGTGGGGTGTTCTCAAATCACAAAAGCACCTTGATTTTTTTTCCCTACTGCTCATGGTGATGATACTCCTTGGGCTGAGCATTTCCAACCAAGAGCAAATTTGCAGCCAGGAATCCGTGCCTGACAAGGGCAGGTCTCATCAGGGCGTGGTGGCTGCTGAGCTGGGGCTCCATGGCCAAGGAGGGGCAAAAGAGGCAGCAAATAACCATGGCAGAGCAAGGGAGCCATGGCTGGGCTTGTCTGTGCTCAGACAGAGAAAAGAAACTAAGTGGAGAAAAGCCATTGAGCTCTGCAGAGGGGATTAGGATTTACTCTCATATCAGGTGAATTCAGGTCAATGGGAAGCTGCGACCAGATTTTATCTCAGCTGATAATAAAACATCCTCTTCACACAACTAAAAGCAGGCATGCTGTACACATTCTATTTAACCTGACTCACATAGCCAAGCTTGAGTTGCTACATAAAAGCATAATTACTTATAGGATCTATTTTACTGGCTTTTTTAATCCAGCATTGTGAGGTTAAGAGTCTGTAATATTATATTCTCCTTAAAAAAATTATTAATAAATCATAAAAAGGAGAAGGGAGCCTGAAAAGGCAATTTTATTCTCAGCCTTGGTGTAGCTGTTTTACAGTTATGGGCAAAGCCCTTAAAAATTTCCTTGTCTCAGTTTAGTGAACTGTGAAATGATGATAACACAACTGCAGCTGTGGGATCTGGGAGGGCTGTTGCTTTAGCTATGCCTTGAGTTTTTTATATGCAGCATGTGAAGAAGTTTAAAACATTACTATGTCATTATCTTTTATACTTGTGTACTTACTGCTCTGTGCTTGCAAACATAATATTTAGTCCTCTAAGAAGTGATTTATAGCATGTAAAGATATATATTTATAGGATATTTCTCCAAATAATGATACTGTGTACCTGTCAGCAAACATAAAAATACAAATTTTATTACTCTTTTGATTATCCTAAGCATATTAAAAATAATGTTTCCAATAGGCTGTATCATACTGAGAAGGAATATTCTGTCTCAGTAAATTTAAGAATTGAATTATTATTTTGACTACTGCTGACGAAAGCTCAATAAAGTTGATCTCTCAAATAAATATGTAAAAATAAAGTTGTTACATGTTAACAAACTTATTCTTAGCAACTCATAAGTTGATTAAATCAATGTGCTAAAATATGTATACTGTTGTTTCTTTTATTTTTGTTGGGTTTTATTTTTTGTATTACCCCTGAAATAATCTTTAAAATAGCAGTTCTCATAATTGAAAAACTCCAAATACGTATTTTGTCCCACTCAGGATATTTAGGGCTAAAATAGCTGTTAATTTGCATCTGATGGTGAGATGTTTATTTTCAGAATGAAATGTAAACGTTTTCTAAGACGTGTCATATCCATTTCACACATTTCATGAAATACTGTGGGCATCTGTTTATTTGCAATTTTTGCATAATTTGGCCATCGTTTGCCTGATATTTTCCCATGACTGCTTTCCAAGGGACAAAAAATATGCAATATGCAGAGTGTTTAATGCAAAATGTCCTTTTAACAGAAGCTGAACTTCACTAAATTGGTCTTTAGGAGGCATCTGCTTTATTGCTCTTATTTGTCCCTTCCTATTTCTGCTGGAGTTTGATTTTTCACCTGACTTATTTCCTTGTTTTTCCCTCCTGGCCTCTCTTGTTATGGCTGAGCCCTCCCTCGTGTGTTTAAATGTTAGCAGCTGCCTGGAAGTGACCTTAACTGCTCCTGGGAAAACCTGGTTATGTTTCCTTAGCAAAAACTGGGGAGATAATCGGTTCCTTGGGAATAAACACGAGCTTATCTGTGGATGTTTATTGGTACATGGGGATAAGGCAAGGAGCGGTAGCTTATGTGTGGATAATATCCCTGCTTCCCTAAAACCGTGGGATAACTGGAGGGAAAGCTGTGCCTGCTCTAATCATCCCTCCTGTGCAGACACTCTCGTGCAAGGCTGTCACTGCACATTAGAAATTGAGGTGAAGGCTCTTTGATTACCACCAAATCAATCTCCACTTGAACCCTGATCAACATGCACTGCCATAGACCACCAAGGGAATGGATTCACAGAGGGACATGAGCTTGTCTTGGACACTCTGAGCTTTGTGGGAGATACATTTTTTTCTAGCTGCAGGTGGATGGGAGCCGCAGGTATCCTAAGAAAGATTTTGATGATTTTGTTCTTGTCCCCATCAATAGAACTTCCTCAGCCTTCCCCTTGAGAAGCTGATATCTGCTGTCCTTATGCCCCAGATGCTGAGAAAAGAGATGAAACCTAGCAGAGGCAGTATTTGGGACATGAGGCTGTGCTGGAGGCCGGGCTGCACCCACACCTTGTGTCCCTGCTCTCTGTCAAACCTCCAACACCCTCTTCCCTGCTGCTGCCACCCTTCATTTGGCAGAAAGGTTTCCTTCCCCTCTCCAGACCCAGAGATCTGCACTGATCCCTTCCTATGCCCTCCAGCAGCCCCCTACCCACCCCAGGTCCATCACATTCTTTTCTTGATGCCTTGGGTACTCATTACTCACATCAGAGCACTGCTGGGCAATGTGAGGCTTTCCAAACCATGCTTAATTCATTTTCACAAAGTCACAAACCTCAGACCCAGCAGCAGAGAAATGTCCAGCAGACAAGAAAGGGTGTTTAACAAGTAAGGTGGACTGAATCAGAGACCTGCCCCATGTACACCACCAGTCAATAACAACTGCATGCTGCCATAACCACCCACTCTCCTCCCTGACCCAAACTAAGATGAACCAGCTTTTATTGTTTTAAGAAAAATTCTTTTTTTTCCTCCATAATGAAGGCATGAAATAGTTTGAATACAAGCAGATTGACAGTAGATCCCCCAAACAAACAAGCTAAGGACAGGAGAAATTGTTCAGTAAAATCAGGTTCTCACAAACAGTGTTTGAAAGTGGGCAGGAAAGGCAGCAAGGAGAATTCTCTTCCCCTCATTAGCAGTCCCAGATTAGCTCTGAAAGTGCGCAGGAGGCTGGAGCTGGGATTGGATACGGACCCAAATGTCTCCTTGCTTATTCAGAGCTTATCAGAACACTCTGAACTTTCAGCCTTGCAAATGTTGAGCTGGAAAAAGCAGAACACGCTCTCTGGGGAGATTTCGTGTTCATTTTTACCTGTGGTTGGGCCAGAAATACTTCAAAGATAGATTTCCTTGTGACATTTGAAGTTTTCTCATTCAGAAGCCTGCCAGAGCTTGAGCTATACAGAGGTAGATATTTATGGGGTCATAGTTTCAGAGAATCTCAGCTTTCATAGAGTCACCAAAATAAATGACCTGCTTTTCAAAAAAGGTCTCATCACTAAAAAGACACCAAGCCTTGTGTCCCACAGGGAGCTGGTGAATTCCAATGTCCCTTTGAAATCAGGATCTAATTGTGAGAGGTTTGCTTTTAGATATCTGACCGGAGATATCTCGAGCTAGAAATTTTAATGGGTTTGTGAAGCAAAAAAAGTTGCTAAAGTCTTTAAGGTACAAAAGTCAGTACAGACCTGGCTAACTATAGAAAGAAGCATCCCAATCCTCAAGTTCAAAGAAAAAAGGGAGAAACAGAAAAGTGAATATGACCTCAGTACACCAAGAGGAGAGGTTTATATAGGGATAATTATCTATTGTCTTTGTCACATGAAAATAATGTCAATAGAATGAAGTCAGTGGCTGCGGTCTAGTCCCAAATCTGCATTTTCCTTGCATCAGGCACATTTTCTGGGCCAGCACGAATGACCTAGAGTCCCTGATGATTCCCTGCAATCACAGTACGTGTCCTTCAAGACACACTCTTTCCCTCCTCAAGCAGTTATTCCAAGAGCTATTTTATTTCCCTTCCAGATGCTCTGTCCTATTGTGTGGCTGGCTCTCACTACAGACCCTGCTGGATCCTGTCCTGATTCTTGGAGATCTGGGAGGCTTTGCTGTTTTGGCTGATGGAATTTGGCTTGCCTATTGTTCAAGGGAAAAAATTGTTCGTCCAAACCTTTCCACCCCGTCTCGGTCCCAAAAAATAACTAAGCCTTGTATTTTGACCTCAGGGAGATGTTGGTAGTGATGCAAAAGGGATGTTGCCAGTAGCCTCAGCTTTAATCTTCATGCTGCACTTTAATTGCATTCCAAAGACCTAAAAAGAAGCCTCCATTGACTAAATCTGATCCAGGACATATGAGCAAACTGAGAAGTCAGCAGGCAGAAGGAACTGACTGCACAGTTGATTTGCCTGTTGGGACTTTGGGCTGAAGAAAAGGGAAACCAGTAGTTTCTAACAGCTTTGAATTTTGAGTCACTAGATTCACCTTTAACTTTTCACTTATTTATCCTTGAACACCCCTTGAAGTTTTGCCCTGTGGACCTGCAGACTGTGGCCTGCCTTGCCCAGATCCTGGCTTACCAGGCTGGCACATTCTGGTACAATTCTGCTGCTCATCACCTTGTGAAACCCTCCTGAGTCAGATCCACCCAGGCATGACTATGCATGACATACAAGACAAGAAGAAAGTCATCAGAAGATCCTGAAATCAGCTGGTCACCAAAAAAAGGTGTCCCAGCCGCTTCTCGTTGCATCAGAAGAGCTGTTTGCCAGTGGCACTTACCCAGCATCCCTTTGTTGGAACTGGACAAGCACATATCCTTCTCAGCACTGGGAAGAACAAATCCAACCACAAACACCTCCACCCCATCTGCCATCAGTGCCAACCCTAAAACAAAGAAGAGAGTCCACTGGAAGCGTCCGTGGCCACACTCCTCAATGATGTTCTCGTACTGGTGGGCGAGTTGCTCCTCATCCTCCATCCTCTCGGCCATGAGGTCAGCACGGTCTCTGTACTCATCATCCACAGCAGGGGCTCGCTTCTTCTGCTTCTCTTTAATGTCATCTGGGTGTGGGATGCCTTGGTACTCCCCCTCATAGACCTCATCATCCTCATCGTGGCCTTCTGTGACATCGCTCTGGGCATCCTCTTCCTGCGCGGGCTCATCCCCGCCCCGGTAGTAGCCGTCGTTGGGTGTGTCGTAGCTGCCATCCTGGTACCTGTAGTCATCTGAGACCTGGTTTGTGTTTCTATATCCACCATCCATTCTGAACGGAGAGTTCTAAGTGCTGCAGGTCACGGTGTAGATATTCTAAAATGGGTACGGATTTGTGCAGTTTCGGGTGCTGGTTACTTGAACATATCTTCTCTCCACTCTTTGGAACTGATGGGATGCTCAGCTTCCCAGGCTTGGAAGGAGAATTATATTTAAAGGTTCTCTTTGACAGAGTCTCACGCAGCTTTTGGTAATGCTTCACTTTTCAGCTGTCATTTGTGACTTGCTGGCTCCTGTGCCTTGGGTGAGAAAAGCTGCTGTCTGGGGAACAGCGAGGGAACAGAAAATTGCACAGCCAGGGAGCTAGGAGGATTTGACAGGTTTTTCCTGATTCATTGTGGTGCTGAAGGTCATGTCCTGAGAAAGAGGAAACAATAGCAATGAGACAGCAGTAAGCTTGCAAGCACACATGCACTGAGTTTAATGTCCAACGTTTTGAATATGTGCTTTTCCTTTGAAAAAATACAGCAACAGAGGAATGTTTTTGCATCATCAAAACCCAAAGCCTCAGAAAAAAACAGAGCATTAAAATGTACCAAGTTCAGTGGGAACCCGAAGTAGAATGTCAAGTACCATGTGGTCCCAATTTCTGTCATTCCTGGAAGTCTTGCCTCCCATATGTGGTCCTGCTTTCCAAGGAGAGCAGAACAGCACTGGGCTGGGTTGCTGGAAAAGAGCTCTAAGGTTGCTAAATATGTTTCCATCCATCTCCTCAGAGTACATTCATCCCTGGTCCCTACAACTGGCTAGCACCATAATGAGACAAAATGTGATCTTGGTTTTCTTTTTCATCCAGATCCCCACATTAATTTTATTTATTGGTTTCTTCTTTTCCCTAGTGTCTCTCCATCTGTATCCCAGATGCACAACTGGCACAGAGTCTGCCAAGTCACCAAAAGTCACACCAAGCTCTGTTCTCCCCATATCCAAACATTAACGGGGGATGATTTTCACAGAGAGCAAAAAACAAAGCTAATAAAGAATCACTGCTGTCTGCAGGGAAAACCAAGAAAAGTCAAGACACATCTAAACACACACTCCTTCTGGACACCTGATTTCCATTATTTTCCAGGCAGTTTCCAGCCAGCTGGCTCTGCAGCATTCCCCTGCCTCACACAGCTGTAGACACAGAGCTTGGAAGGAGAAGCACATGGGAAAGGGAGTGGAGTTACGCCAGAGCAGCCAGCACAGCGTAGGCATGCACAGAACGTGGACTTGGCTTTAAGCTTTGAGCTACTTGCCTAAATAAAGTGTAAATGAGGTATGGATTGACATGGGCAGGCACAAGCCTGAGCATGTGTGGGTGTTGTTACCTACACAGTCAGTTGACCTATAGAAGCGCACGCAAACGCACACACTGTAAATAACAGTGCTATATGCAGCTAAAATTACTTCAGAGGAGAAATTCAGTAGCACTCTCTATAATAAAATGCTCAGAGGGGCATCACTCCTGCTGCAAATGCTGTGATTTCCTGGCAGCCCAAATGCTCAGGGTAAGGAAGGAGCAGGGGCCTGACTTCTCTCTCTGCATGGATTAATGGCCATGCCTTGCCTGTGCTGTTCATGGAACTGCTCCAAGGAACTTCATAAAAGCTTCCTCTGCCCTTCTGTTTATCTCCCTATATATTTGTGGCCCACAATTACAACACAGCCCCTTCAGAACCTGCCAGAATCTCTTCCTTTTCTCTGGTGCTTGTCACTACATTCAACGTGTCTCCTCTTCCCTTTCTTTATGCTGAATCACACCGTACATTTTGCATCAAGTGAAAAAGGCAACATGGCATTCTTCCAGGGCTCAAAAAGAGTGATCAATAAAGGAATAAGAAAAAAAAATTAAAAATTCCAAATGCATTTTGATCAGGTTATAATGATAGGAGTCGACAGTGCAGGGAGGGGTAAAGATAAATATTTGCATAGGCACCTGAGCTGTTAATGTGCAGGGAAGTTAATACATCTGACAGCTATCAGTACTTAAGTGAGCTCTACAGCTCTTGTTTCAGTGCTGGAGTGTTACCTTTAATGGTTAATAAAAAGTCCAAAATTACTTTTGAGTCTCAGAACCTCCCAGTCCCGAAGTAACTTTCTTGATTACACAAAGATTTGTGTCATGACTGAACATCATGTTCTCCAAGGCAGTAAAATGTAGTTCCACAGAGACATATTTTCTTTTGAAAAGTAAGGGAAGGAGCCTTTTATTTAAAGAGAAAAAAACAAAAGAACAATATGTGCAAAAGAACATCAGGCCTTGCTTTGGAAGTCTTTAAGAATCATCTGCTGACAGGTCATGCTTCAAAGTGACCTCAAATTTTGGAGCAGGAAGAGCAGTGACCTCACTGTGTTTGTCCCTTTCTGGTTGCCACAGAACTAAATTGAAAACTCGTTTTAGGAAATGAAGTAACAATAACAGTAATGATCAATAGCAGAACTGATCAGACTCTGAGTCTGCACAGACCTTATCTCTCTTTTCAAAAGGTAAAAGTATGTTCTTAAAGACCAAGTGCTGGAAATCTTTTTGTTCTCTATTTAAAAGCTGCTGAGGCTTAAAGCTGGGCTCTTTGCCTCCCACAACAACAGGACCAAAGATCACAAACTCAGAAAAGACCTATTGAAGCATCCATGCTCTTTCACTGACACACAAAGTCTGGCATTTACCAGATGGAATCACATCTTGGGCAGCCTAAGAAATAATGACATGAGCTGATGAGTCTCACAGACCAGTGAGAGTCACCTGTATGGGGAAGAAAAGCAATTCAAAGAAAAGGTCATGGCAAAAAATAGTGACTGGTTTCCCATTCAGTTTGCAGGTGGATATTTTCTGGAATCACCCTGGGAGAAGGGGCAGTGCGGAGAAGCAGGCTATAACTTCAGAATGCTACACTTTCTATATTTCACACCACTTGTTTTCTTTCTTTGCCACATATGCACAGGCTGATTCACTCCAGACCTGATTCTTTAACACCCTTTCACTCAAGCTGAGCTGCACTCACTCATTAACAGCCCCATTTAGCATTTAGATGCGAAATCATGATGTGTCATAAAGATGGCAGGCTTGGGTTGCTATAATTACCCTTCACAGTGATGCATGAGGCTTGAGACAAATATACACATCTCACCAAGCCTATTGTAGCAGGGTGGGTGTCAGTCTCTTCTCCCAGATAACAGCACAACAGGAAACGGCCTCAAGTTGTGCCAGGGAAGTTTCAGACAGGATATTAGGAAAATTGCATCATCAAAAGGGTTGTCAAGCATTGGAACACTCTGCCCAGGGCAGTGCTGGAGTCACCACCCCTGGAGGTGTTTAGTAGCCATGTAGATGTGGCACTTGGAGACATGGTTTAGTGCTGGGCTTGGCACTGCTGGGTCAGTGGTTGAACTTAATTATCTTATAGTTCTTTTCCAATCTAAATGATTCTAATTAGAACCCTCGGCCCTTTTAAACTGCCAGTTCCCTTTCTGAGACACACAGGTGAGGTTTAAAGACACAACAAATGTCAGGCTCCATAAGGCAGAGTCTGCAGGGGCAGGAAGGCAGAGGCAGGAAAGCCTCATTCTGGGTCTGCCCAAAACAGCCCATTAAACTGTGTTGGACACAGAAACCTGGGATGCATCAGAATTCAGATCCTTTCCTCATTTCTTTAAAATACACTATGCACCTTGCAGATTTCTTGCGCTCTTTAGCTCTTTAGTTAGCTCAGATTTTGCATACTTAGCCAGGAATTCAGTCATCTCAGCTCTGCAACTTAAAATAGGAACCTAAAGTCTTGGATATCCTCATAATAGAAATGATGTCTACTCTAGGAAAAGGGATGTTTAAAAAAAAGCAGATCCACACCTGCATTTGCCTCTCTGAGAGGGCATATAGGTAAGTCTGGCATGCTGAGGTGATAAACTGGGGGCTGGAGGGCAGCAGAGCTTGGAGGGGATGCAGAGAAGCGTGATTTTCTTGTGCCTGGTACTAAATGAAGAGAGCCCAGGGCTCGTCAGAAACCTGAGATCTATCAGAAAACAGAAATCATGTCAAATTAGTGACCAGGGTAGATATGAGAAGGGTTTTCTTATGAAATCTTGTACCTTGGGGCTTGATGGAGTTTCTGGAAAAGCAAAGAGAGCGAGGATGTTGCTTTGTGGGAGCACAAGCTGTGGGTGCACACACACACAAATGCAAAATGCACATCCATGGTGTGGATCCAGCAGGGAGAGAGAGCCAAGGCTGGGAGCTGCCACCCAGGGCCTTTCTGCCTGCTCAGAAAGGGAGAACACTCAAAATCAACAGCAGGAGGGAGAGGTTATTTGAACACTAAGGAGAAGGAGCACGAAAGGGACACTATAAAAATGCTTTCAAGGGATTTTTAGCATTCACCAGAATAATCCCTGTAAAACAGATGGCAGAGCAGTTTAATATTCTGCCTGAAGGACAACTCCTCCTGCAGAACACCCTCACCCCCAGAGCTGCTTTCTGCTGACAGCAATGGGAAGGTGCCCAGATCCCACAGTGACCATAAGGACATTGTGCAGTCACAAAGCTGACTGTAAAATATTCCTGAGAAGAAATTTTCCTCACTGAAAAGGAGAAAGATGATTATGTAGATAGGCTTCTGTGAAGTTCCAGTCTCAGATTCCTAGTGAGGTTGCAATTAATGGATCTGCTTGCACACACGAAGAGACAGATTTTTGAGGTGCCTAAGAAATCACAGCTCCCAGGGGAGCAGCATCCTGGATTTCAGGCAGCCAGCAGTGACAGCAGTATTATCAGAGAGGCTGAGCACTGAGTGATCACTGAGCTGCTGGATGAAGTGCTGCAGGCTGAGCAGCCTGGGCTCTGTCCCTTGGCTTCCTGGCATCTCTGTGTCCCTCCAGCCCCCACATCAGGACAGCGCAGCTTTCCCCTGGTGGGAACTGCAGATCCCTCACAGCTGTGGTTATACGAATATATTCATATATGGGCAACTTGTGTCCCCAAAATCTTGAACCTTAAATACACCAGAATCTGG